ACCTTCAGAACCTGGAGACGACCTTCAGAACCTGGAGACGACCTTCACAGAATCTGTGGTTTCTATAAAAACGAATCGATAATCGATGATGATCACAGTTTGGACTCGAACGCTGCGATTCTCTGTGTGTTTTCTGCTCTGTGGTACAGTTTCCTTCACATGCTGCCTGCACGTGTGAGCACTTGGACACGCTGCGTTGCTGCTTGAAACCTGACTGACATGCCGTGCACGTCGGCTCCTTGTTTCCAGATGTGTGTCCAGATGAGCGTTTGTGTGTTTTTGTTACCGAATGAGACGACTGGTGCGTTTGTTGGAGCGGCAGCGCAGCCGCGGTCTCATGTTTATGTTCTGCAGCGATTTGTTCCTGTTTGAAACGGCGGCCATGTTTGACTTTTTTTAAAGCCCTTGTGTAAATGTACAGAATATATTGTAAATGTATATTTCTATTTTAACTCAGATTCTAGTTTTGTTACTAAGAATTTAAACAAAGTTCTTTGTGAGCTCAAGCACTTTGTTACGACTCCTTCGATGCATTTAAGAAACTTTTCTTACGACTTTGCACTGAAATCTGCAGAAGACCAGGACGCTGAACTTTGAACTCCACCAGCCCACTTCCAGTTCCTGACTGGGAACTTTGCAGGATGGCTCAGATGTTGAACCTAAGGCCAGAGGCTGAAGGTGCTGGTCTCCTCTGAACACGGACTGATGGAGAGTGTGAAGAGGCTGCCGAACCCAGGACGAGAAGATGTTTGAAAAGTTTCACGTAAAAGCTGCTGCTGCTGCAGAAAAACTCCATCCGTTCACGCAAAGTGCTTTTTCTTTTCCGACTTGTTTTGCACTGATTCAGGACGAGTCCACATGAAGCTGGTGAAAACTGGGTGTGTTCTTTTCTCTGAAACTCGTCCCAGCAGAGTTAAATATTTTAGCCGTTTTCGTTCTGAGCCATTTAAAAATATTCGAACACTACCCTCTGCTCTCCGTTGCTAATCGAATGAGATGTCGGTTAAACGGAGCGGAGCAGTAAAGATGGAGACGAGCTGGGGAAAAGACAAAACTGAGAAAAGTGAATTTTCTGTTTTATAATTGAATATTTAACTGAGAGTCTGCGACTGTTGAGCTCTGGGTGTTAAAATCGTGACCTGTTTGTGTGTGCACGGCTTGCTGCGTTCTTGACCGTGCACGTTTTTTTTTTTTGTTCCGCTCGGCTTGTTTTGTTCCCACCTTGACCTGTAGAGAGTGAAGCTGGACACATCTGCACCAGCTGTTTAATAATCATGACGTATGATCGTCCTGGTCATCAGATGGGAGGTGGTTGACGAGATGATTCCGTGGCCAGAGAGAAAAGATGCACAGATTTTTGGACCTTGTTCAAAACTCGTGCGACGTGTTCCCACGGGAGGAAGTTGAGAATCACGTGGAAAAATTTCAAACCTTTTGGAGACGACCTCGTTGTTGTTGAACTCGTCGCAGCCCGGTGAGCTCCCACCTTTAGATCACTGATGGAGAAATGATGCGTTTGTAAAACCAGCACTTTAAGCTCGTTAAAGACCTTTTTGTTTTATGTCATCTTGTAATTCTATGGAAATGTATACTATATTATTCCGTTTTTAGTTTTCCAGACTGATATGAATCAGTTGAAGGATCTGAATCACCTTTAGAAAACGACTAAATCAGCTCCGTGACAAAATGATTTCTGTAGTTTCATCATCATCATCAGAGGGAAAAATGTTTTTATTAGTTAAAGCTGGAGTTGAGCAGTCTGGATGTTTTTACACACGGCTTCATGTGGACACCTGCTCTGTAGAACAGACTTCATTCACTCACCTTTCACCTTCTTGTGTCTCCACGTGAACCTCTTGTTGTTTACACAGTTTTCCACAGATCGAGCGTTTGTTCTTTTTCATTTTGAACCCCGGTTGTTGTGACGGAGGTGCAGGCGGCTGCTGCATCTTGTTCTCCACCTCCGTCACGTCACTCTCGTGGAAAGTTGTCGCACACTTTACGTTTTATTGCAGTGTTTCACAAACATCTAATGCAAGGTATAACAATATGCTTTACTGTTTGGTAAAATTTGACAAAGAAATGAATAATAAAATAAAAGTGACAGTAAAGTACTGGCTATCAACCTTCTTTGTGTTTTATCTGGACTCTTTAGAAGACGCTAAGATCACTTTAAATCTGTTGCATGGAATCAACTTTAGGCTCAAACGTTTTGAAGAAATAGGTGTTTCATCAAATAAATAGTTGCGATACTTATGTTGCCTTTTAAACTGAAACCAAGAGGACACGTTAATTCAGTTCAGTTTATTTATATAGCTCCAAGTCACAACAGAAGTCGTCTCGGCACAGGGTTAACTTTATACACGCTGTTTTAATGCTGGAAGCAGTGAAGATATTGCACCGACAAAAACAGGAAATTAAATTTATTTAACACAGAAAACGATATTCAGTTAAGTACAATATATCAGAAAATAACTTCTTTACATATGTCCCAATGATGTCAGTTTCCTGAAGAATAAATGCCAAATATCTGCAGAGAACTGTTTTACATATTTTATTTGGTCAATTAGCGCCATCTGGTGGTCAGATGGTAGAAGTTCACCTTGTGATGAGTTTGGCCAACAGACAGCAGGGCTGAGGAGGAAGAGCAGCTTCTAAACTCATACTTTGATGTTTAAAGAAGAAAAGTGTACAAAGTAAATAATTTTGGAGAATCCTGAGAGGTTTAATATATTGCTAGTTGTTTAAAAGATGCTTCCTCACCTTCTTTGTTGCGTTTTCAAATTCAGACTAAAAGAGGAGCAGCGGAGAAAAATGCTGCTGTAAGTACTTTATCTCTGTTTTGTAAAGTTCTACATTTAGTTTCATGTTTGTATATTATTTTTTTTATCCTAAAAGTAAGTAAACTTTATTTATATAGCACTTTTCATAGATAGAATCACAAAGTGCTTTACAGAAATACAAAATACAGGCTTAAAATGAAACGATGACTGCTGATTGAAACAGTAAATAAAACATTTAACTAAAGTCTTGTCTGAATAAAAGTGTCTTAGCTGCTTTTTAAAGGAATCAACAGAGACGGTCACATGAAGAGATGGGCAGGGCATTCCACAGCTGGGGGACTATGGCCTGAGAAGATGGGTCATCTCGAGTTTTAAACCTGATCTTAGGGACCTTTAAGAGGTTCAGCGCATCAAACAACCTTGACAGAATTTGAACCCCAGTCTATGACTGAGTCCAAGTCCTAAATATGTATTTATTGTCCAATTACATCATTAGATCATGTTCAACTAAACTCCAGTGATCAAATACCTAAATTTGTCCTTAAACATCAAAATAAAACCTACAGCGCTCTCCTCTGGACAAAAACGATCATCTCAAATGTACCCCTACAATTGAAGGACATCCTCCAGTCCCCATTTTTGAGGAAGGGAAACATCACCCCAGTCTGCCAGTTTAGTGGAACTGCCCCTGATGTCCACACAATGTTGCAAATGCATGTCCACCAAGATAACCCAACAACATCCAGAGCCTTAAAGAAATCAGAGCAAATCTCATCCAACCCTGGAGCCCTGCCGCCACATAGTTGTTTTTTTTTTTAACTACCTCAGCGGCTTCAGCCACGGTTATGGACAGACCAACCCCGAAGTCCCCCGACCCAGTTTCCTCCATAAAAGATGTGCCGATGGGATTGAGAAGGTCCAAGAAGTATTCCTTCCACGTCCTGACATCACTGGTTGAAGTCAAAAGCACCTCAGCTTCACTGAACAGAAGCTTGTAAAGCATCACTTCCCCCTCCTCAGCCACCTGATGGTTTGCCAGAATCTCCTCAGAGTCGATCAAAGTCTAAGACCTCACCCAACTCCTCCCACATCTGAGAGTCTGTGGCCCACTTGGCCCTCCGGTACTCCTCAGCTGTCTTTTGAGTCCCACCAGCCAACAAGTCTTGATAGGACTCCTTCAGCTTGACAGCCTCCCTAACCCGGGGTGTCCATCACCGAGTTCGAGGATGGCCACCACAAGAAGCACCGACAACCTTGAGGCCACAGCTCAAGGCAGCCACCTCAACAACTGAGGCACAGAACATGGCCCACTCAGACTTCATGTCCCCCACCTCAGCTGGAATATATTTAAAGCTCTCCCAGATGTGTGAGTTGAAGATCTTTCTGATTGATACTAAGAGACATATGAGTCATGCACCCGACTCATATGGCCCTCCTGCAGGTGGTGGGCCCACAGGAAGGCAAACACACGTTGCTCATTTGGGCTGAACCCGACAAGTCCCCCTGGGTAGAAGGAGCTTGCCGACGAGCACCTCCACCAGGCCTGGCTCCAGGATGGGGCCCCGGTAATCCACGTCCAGGCAAGGGACACCAAGTTCCTTGTTTGTTTTACTGGTTTTGGAACATACAAGTGTGTTGAATCGCTCTTCGTCTGGCCTGTCACCTAGGACCAGTCTACCTTGGGACAACCTACCAGGGGCAATTACAACTGCCCCGACAGCATCGCTCCTAGAGTAATTCAGGTGCACAAACTCCACCACCATGACAAGGAGACAATTCAAGGAGGAGCATCACAGTTACACAACATTAAATCTGGTCAATACAAGAAGAGGCAAACATTGACAAAACACACAAAATAAGTGCTAATACTAATTAATATTAACGTAGAAAAATTAAAACACGAATTGAGGGATGGTGTGTCAGTCAGAATAATGAACATCTGTAATCTTGAGGAAAAATAACCACAAATAAATCTGTTTTATTGGATTTCTGGAGGCTCGCATGTTAAATCAGAGGTCTTACCTCAGTCTTCCTGTTGGTTTTCTTGGTTTAACTGATAGAAGCATAAACACAAACAGCAGCTGGCTATTCTACTTCTGGTTATAAGTTTTATTTTTCACTTCAGCTTTTATTCTGATTTATATCTTAAAACTCTGAATAGAGAAATGAGTTCCAGC